TGTGTAGTTACGCCCTTACGTCAGCCGAGCGACGGCCAGCCTCCGCTGCAACGCCCGCAGTCCGTGGTTGGTGTCACTCATCATCTCAACTGGATTGCCACACTGCAAAAAAAAATCTCGGTGTATTTACTAAGGAAAGGGTAAAATTACCAAGAATTCAGGGTTCTACTTGATCCCAGTTTTTTCTTGGTTAAATTACCATTTGTGGAATTGGTAATTTTACCGAGAAATCTCGGTGAAATTATTGACTTTCTCGGTCGTTTTACAGGACCCCGGTAAAAACGCCAATATTTTTTATCGACTGTGGTAGAATTACCGAGATAAAATGGCAAAGTTACCGGGAATTGATTGCCAATAAAAGTGGTATTCTTACCTGAAAAAAACAGTAAAAATACCGGTTTTTAGGTAAGCTTACCAGTCTGTCTTGGTAAAATTACCAATAATTGGTGAAAAAATTGAGATGGTAAAGGTACCAACGGACCTTGGTAAAAACGCCGAGAATTGTTTCTCAGTGCAGATCATTTGAAAAACTTGGATATTTAACATCGAGCTGCATGGCGAAATGTACTGGATTTTCAGCACAATCTAGCAACAGAGCGTCTCAGCGTCCGCCGCGTGAAGCCAGGTCGTCACAGCCAATCTAGTCACTAATAGATGGACGTATTTATGCTGAAAGGAACTATGTGCATGGGATATGCGTGCAACATAGTTCCTTTTAGCATGAATATGTCCAAATGCCGGTCGCTTGCTCCAATAGAGGTAGTGGGTTACGCCCCACTTCCGGTATAAATCCTTGATAGTGATAGTGATTCCAAATCGATTTTTTAACCCAGAGAAGCTGAGGAATCGAATCGATTTTTTAATCGATCGAAAATATCGAAATCGATTTTCTAAAGCCAAAAGATTTAACTCGATACACAATTGAGGTCGAAATATTTTCGTCAAATGATGGTCCAAGTTTTGAAATAATTCACAGAAAATTAGACGATTTCATTGTTAATCCCAAAAATCGATGTTTTTAGATCGATCTAACATTGAGATCGATTTCTGAGGAAACATTGGAAATCGCTAATCAAAAATCGACTTCATGCAAAAGATAACCATCAGTAATCATTTCTAGGTCGAGTGTTCGCGTTGTTGATCATATTTGTCAAAACGGAACCATATTAAACCAACGCAACATAGAAATAGAGCGAGGGAAAGGAAGCGCGTTGATGACGGCGCAGAGATACGACTATTCGTACTCGATGGCGATGTCCGTGTTGCGTCGCCAAAATTGACGGCGCGATGGAGTGAGACGTGAACTCACAATGATCCGCTCTATGCCGCCAATAAGGTTTCACTCAGAATCAGGGGAAAAAGTTAATATTACCTCTCTCCTATCTTCGGTTGTGTTGCTCACGCAGCCCTTGCAGCACCACTACCATTAAAACAAACGGAACCAGAGGACGGAAACGAAAACGGAACAACACAAAGAGGAGCAAGAAAAAGGGTGCGCGTTGACGAAGGCGCAGAGATACAACTATTCGTACTCGATGGGTGTCCGTGATGCGTCGCCAAAATTGAAGGCGCAATGGAGTGAGACGTGAACTCACAATGTTCCGCTCTTTGCTGCCAATAAGGTTTCACTCAGAATCGGGAAAAAAGTTTAGAAACGAGGCCCGATTACGTCTCTCCAATCTTCGGTTGAGTTGCTCACGCAGCCCTCGAAGCACCACTACCATTAAAACAAACGGAACCAACACAACATGAAAGAGGAGCAAGAAATAGGATGCGCGTTGACGAAGGCGCAGAGATACAACTATTCGTGCTTGGTGGATGTCCGTGTTGCGTCTGCAAAATTGAAGGCGCGATAGCGTGAGGCATAAACTCCGGTCAATGCTGTCTATGAAGTGTCAATCTGCTTCAGGAGATAATTTTGAAAAAAAACGAGGCTCGACTACGTCTCTCCGATCTTCTGCTGAGTTTCTCATGTAAGTATCCTTGAGGCGCCACTAATCAAATAAGATACACGGAAACAAACACAATTGGGGGAAAATATACGCCACTGCAACAATCATGCAAATCTACATTTTCGACTGTTATTTTTAAAGTAGTTAAAAATAAATGTTTCAAAATATTTTAATGATTTAAATTGAACGAAGCTGCGTGCACGGCGTGAGCAGCTTGTAAGCTTCATTGAGCATCTTATGCGACCAAAGTCAAATACAAGAGGCATCGACAAAACGCACTAACAATTAGAGGTTGTCGAGATAATTCTGAAAAGCTGCGGAGTGAAAGAGAGGAGGAACGCTGGCTTAAAATTCGCACTAGAGAAAAAAGAGAAAGAAAACGTATAATTAATCTTGACGGTGTTAGGTAATAATTTCCCCTACGCGTCATAAAGTTTCAATTGATTTACTCACGCGATGCAACATGAGATTCGAAAAAAATCACATTTTCATGACAGCGCGAACACGCGGACCACGTTTTTGCGGACATGGTTGCCATGATGTTGAAAAAATTAAGGACATTTTCGGAGAGTGCCGCAGAAGTAATGAGGTAACATTAGACCGAAAGTCAACAACGCTCTCGCTAAAAACCAAATCGGCGCAACATGTGTATCCCTTCGCGCCAGTACTCTACAAAACCGTCGGCAAAGGTCGAGTTTGGAACCGGACCACAAAACAGAGTAAAAAATAAAAAACCGCATGATATTTCTTGCCATCAACATTTAAAACGTGGAACTCGTTAAGTACACATAAAAAGTCTTAAAGTCGCTTATAAAATGAAAATGTAGGTGTTTTAGTGAACATTAAAATACTAACAATAATTGAATTCAAATTTTCCGCTCTTGGAAAAATCAAAATTAACTTATTTTTAGCTCAATCGATCGCAAAAACGACAAATAAATTGAGTTTAGTCTTACAATAATATTTGCTCCTTTAAAGTACATTACTTCTATAACACTCAAAAGAAATTCAGTATGCTTATGAATATTCATAAATTTTCTGGAAAATAAATATTTTATCGAAGGAAACTTGTCAACAGTCAAATACTCACACGGCGTTTTCCTTAACACGGTAGTAATTGAGAGTGACTCCATCGGGCACCTACACATTTGCAAGTCTGTGAATTCGCTGATTAGCTGTGTGACATCCTTTTCCGGTAGCGTGTGAAAATTTTCCTAATTTTTAGCCGCATATTGATGGCGAAAGTGAGAATCCGCGTACCTCGGTTTACGACACGATATCTCTCATTTTGATAATAGTCAACGTAATTTCTTAAAAACTTCCCTGATTTATCTTTTTTGTCAGCGGGTCATTCTATAAAAATCCAAGCTAGAAAATTGACCCGTTCCTCTTCAAAATTATAAAATAGGATCGGAAATTTTGAAAGATCCTCATGGAAATACGTGGTTTTGCACTTTGTCCATCCATAATAATGAAAAATCCAAAGAATTCCATACAAAAATTGTTATCGCGGCATGGTCATTGCCATGGTCCAAGTGATAAGGAGTCACCAAGCTGCTGATCAGGAAATAACTTAATCCAAAGCCTGGCGGAGTCCTTGTTATGCATCCCCACCCAGTGAGCTGCTATAAAAAGTCAGATGGTTAATGCTTTGTATCCTCATTGTTGTCTCTTGCTTGATCAGAAACTGTCCCTAATTGTGTTCACCCATTCAGTGTAGTTCGTGATGGTTCCATTATTTTCTCTGTCACCTCACCTGTGCTGAGTTCTCTTGTCGGACCCTTCATAGGTTAGTGCACCGTCTGTTTTTTAATTATCCATCAATTCATCGAAGAAAGTTGTGAGGATCACTTACAAATGCTACAGAATTGTGATTTCATATCAAAAAAGCTGCTTTTAAGAGGGGATGTTGAAAGTTTCGGATTTTTGGTGTCATCTGGACGCATCAGCAGCTTTTGTCTGCAACAAAAATCAAGAAAATCGGTCCGGCGGCGGTTCCTCAGAATTAAGGATCACGTGGTTTCAACCCTTACAGTTTTATTTATATCCATTAAAAAAAATATATTATTAGTAGGAGAGAGCCTTAGTCTATAGAGGCAAATTTTCAGGCGAGCGATTTTTTGCATGTAAGTTCAAAAAATCCAACTTGCTGTTTCCGACCTACAACATTTTATTTGTTTGTGCCAGTAAAAGGTGTGAGAGTGTTTTTTAGTTTAAAAAAGGTAAGCCTTAAAGATGACATATTACATCCTCAATTATTTTTTTCTCAGGCCCTACATATTTTGAAACGAGAACTTCATATTATAAACTCAACGTGAAACTCAAAACTTTGAATACAAATAATACTCTGCACCCCAAAACCCCCGAAAAGAGACGATCTTAAAATATAGTCTCGTTTGGAAGCACAGTAGAATCGGTCCGATAAGATAATGTAGTAATTCCATTCGTGTTTTAATCTCCGTAAGAGGAGATACAGGGGGCTTGGAGAAAAAATGCATACTAGAACCATACGTTGACTACCGGATGGTGCCTTTTGCCTAAATTGGTTCCTTTGCGAGGCATCAGTCTCTCAATTTGTGAATGATTCACCTCTTAACGCTTCCTGCCTCTCATCATAGTCCCTCCTGCCTCTCTCTCTCCTCTTCCACATGCACCCCCGCTAGATCGCGCCCGCGCAGTGAACCCGCGCTATTCGCGATGTTGCCAACAATAAAAAAAAAGTTCCACATTATCTGACACCATCAATCAATGGGTTGCCTGCACCTAAAAGATACAGCCAACAAAGTGACTTGCCCCAGGTGAAACGGTACGAGAAACACGTGGGGCACATCAAAAATGTGTAACATACACTCCAAAACACATAATTATCTGTGTCACGTACGTACGTACGTACGTACGTTCAAAATTTTCTTTTCAAACGAACAAACTCATGGACTGTTATCATACGTTCAACATTTACTTTTTAAACGAACAAACTCGTAAGCTGTTATCGATCATTTTAGCGTAAGATTTAAATTTTTGAAAGAAATTTTTTCTCTTTGTTTACAGGTGAGACAAAAACAAATGCTTTGAAACGTTCAACATCATACGCAAGAAAGATTGATGACAGTTTGCGAGATTTTTTGTCGTTGAGGTAAGGTTTTCTTCCATCTCTCCCCCCCCCCCTCTGGAAAAACCTGATTGCCGGCTATCAGTAGAGAAGTGCCTGCAAACGCGCCTCATTTGGAAATGGGTGATGCGAACCACGCGAATCTTGCTCCAAAGGGGGGGGGGGCATTTCTAATGTACTCGACTTGCTCTTTGTGCGAAATTTCTTGCTGTAATTAGATTAGGAACATTCTGCAATGAGGAGCCACTATTTGTGTTCACTGCTCATCCATAAAATCACTTATCCGCTTAGGGTAACGAATGTCACATACTGTCGTCTCTAAATTGAGCCAGCAATTGAAGTTCCTGATTGAAAAACGCAGTCAAATTGTACAGTCTACTCACTGACCAGTATCTTTTGTGTGCAACAGACCACTTTTGTTTTAATATATCTAAATACATGTGTCATGTGTCCAACTTGATATGGAGATCGCAAAAATGGCGTGACCAAATGCGCGATCTGACAGCCTCCCCGTGACCTCTGATATAGCTCGCGCGCCTGACTGACGGTCACGGTAGGTCCAATACAGTGTTACCGAATGTCAGAGCATTGACGGTTCGCAAAAGTTGACATTAGGCACTAGGTTTCGTTCTTTTAATGCATTTTAAACAGTTTGGAGGCGATATAATCGACTATTTATTAGGAAAAATAGTTGGCAAACTGGGATGATGATGAGTGACTGTTTTACTGCTGAATCTAATGATGAATTCACGATTAGTTCATTCTAATCGCGCTTATTTTTCCAAAAAAACTAGTTTCTTTGAGGAAACGCGTTTTGGTTAGAAACTGCTTCTCGTGAAAATCGGAACGTATGGCTAAATTTTTTTCGAAATTTCTCCCAAACTTACGATTGAAAATGTACGGAAATCAAAATATGTGACAGGATCTGTGTAAAAAGACCTTAACTTCCAAGGAAATAAGTTTCAAGAGAACCAAATTTTGTGGAATATTTCGAAATAATGGGCGATTTTGAATTCTAAACGGGAAACGCTCTTCAGAAGCCGTTGGCCCTATACACGTGCAACGCGCGGTTTTAGTTCACACCACAGTGGGCGCTAGCTGCTATCGTCTGTCTTCGTTCGTGTCAGAATTCTCAACCAAAGTTCAACCTGAAACTTGAGAATTTTTATCTGGAAACCTATGGACGTCATATTTCCCTCAATTTTTGGGCTATCAGAGTCAAACTTAGGCCAAAATTTCCAAGTTATCTTACCCCACGCAGTAGTATTAATAACTCAAATTTGAATTTTTGGAACATATAGGGTGATTGGAACTTAACAGAGATTCGGTCACACATATAATATTATCTCATAATATGGCAGGATCCAACGTTATCGGAAATGTGAGACTGAAATCCGGAGGGAATATTTTTAACGAGCATTAAAGTGCCTGTCTAAGGGACTGCATTTTGCAGTTAGAACTACAATTTATAGCTCACTTTAGAAACAACGTATGTACCATCAGTCTCCCTTTGCATTTAAGTGCTTCTACGGACGAGCCAGAAATTGTAGTTCTCTACTGCAAAATGTAGTCCAAATGATAGCGATGGCATCACTTCACAGAGAGAGTAGTCTCCACTTTGCGTTTCTATCTTTCGGACCGCATTTTGCAATAAGGAACCACTATTTCTGCCTCATCCATAAAATAACCTACCCTTATAGGAGAATTAAAAGCACATATGTGGTTTCTACAATGAGTCAGAAATTATTGCAAAATGTAGTTCACTTGGCTTGTTTCACGGTCCGACTCCTATTTGCAATCAAGAACTGCTACTGTTTCTGGCTCATTCAAAAAAGCATCTATCTGCGTTGGGAATCTATTGGCACTTAGGGTGTTTCGAAAATAGGAGTTCCGTAGATATTGCAAAATGTGATCCAGTTAGATACGCGCCGCGTGGAGTAAACTCCGATCCTCGTCGCTAACATTGAGAACATCATTTTTAACATTGAGAATTTGCGAGGCTGTGATATAGGCAACATCGTAAGAGCCCGATACAATTACCTTGTTTTTTACGCTCATGCGATGGGTAATTGAATTAAGGCTGCCCTCGACCAAAATTCGAGACGCGTCTAATGTCACCGCCGCCTTCGCGCCTTGCCTCGAGCTCGAGTTGTCGCGTCTAAACGCCGAGTTAAACCGTCTGGACTCCCAGTCAAACAGCGATTCCGCAGCCTAGTAGTATCATCATGGCTCATGGGTCATTGGCGTGAATGCAGATTGAAAACCAACGGGTTGATTTTTGAAATTGATGGATAAAGCTGTAAGCAAAGAAAACGAATGGAAACGGACCCGAATTTATATATGGGGCATAATGGGCAGCTGTCCCCAACGGCAAATTGCAGGGGCGGCAAAGTCCGAGTTCCAAGAAGCTGGAAGGGGGTGTTGGAGACCCCAAAGTTACGAAAAACATTGACATGAAATTCCAGTGCATATGTGAATAGACTACCGCTTTTCTATTCTACTACTACCTACGAAACATTTGATTAATACTAAAGGAGTACAGGAGTACAGCGTCTGGATATAGCTTTATCACCATCGGCTATAAAAGGCTATAAGAAATTATATATACGGCTATTAGAAGCTATAAGAAAACTTATAGCCGATCTATGGCATTTTGAAACACAGATCCTAGAGCCAATTCTTACCAGGGCTGCTCGGGATGAATTTGAAAAACTTCTTCAAACCCTCCTGTTACAAAACAGACGACCCTGGAGAAATCCCGTCTATTAACCCTCCCGGTTAAATCATGATTAGTTCCTGTTACAGGTGCAAAGGCTACGGTCCTATCGGAGCCCGATCTGGTCGAGCTCAAAGGATTCCGACGAGGCATTCGGAAAAGTGAGACAATAAACGGTGGAAGGGAAACCCGGGCACGCTTCCCGTATTATTCCGGTCTCATTGTGAGCTCGGAGGATAGTGGAAAAGTCGATAACTGCCCAGGTACGCGGGACAATACCGGGTCGTAAAAGAATAAAACGCGATGAAAGCTGAACAAAACTAAATTAAAGGTAGCCGGGGAAGACAGAGGAACGGTTTCACGCTACCTGCAAATCAAGGTATTCAAGGTGCGCGGCGGTCGCAAAGGCCGATCCGCGGCAGGTAGGCGCCGAAATTTCCCTAATGGGGTAGCGTTCACTCGCGCATTTTCTTCACAACGCTGATCGGTGACTACCGATCGCGCCCCGTCCATCGCTTTCCAAAAAAGAAACAAAGCGTCCGGGTATCCTCCGCTTTCACCGATTCGCCTTTCGGCCCGGCCTTTTCGCGCGGGTGCCCGGTCGCCCGCGCCCGGCCAGGCAGCGCGCGTCCGCACGCGCGCGCGCCGTTTTACACGGGGTAAGTTGTGTCGCTTCTGGCGTCACTCATAATGTAAAACGGAGCGGGCAGTGTTGCCATTTTGTGTACAGTCAATCGGTGTAGCATTGGGCCAGCCAGTACAACATTTGGCCACCTGGGGAAATCACTTCAAATGCCTGTTTCTTCTTCTTCCTTGGAAGTTTTGCCAACTTCTTCTTATTTTTGGAAGCCCTGTATCCTCTTGTTACTTTTTTGATCAACAGTTGGTAGTGCTACATGCTTTCCCCAGGTGGCCCAATGCTGTACTGGCTGGCCCAATGTTACACCGATTGACTGTACCTGAAGATTTCGAGGTTCCCGGAGTTAAATCCAGTTTCCCAATGTTCCGGAAAAATTCCGTTTTTTTCCAAACCCTCCGGGTACACTGGAAAAAAAGCACATTGGATCTTGAGTCCAGACTCTTGAAAACATTGACAAGAAAAAGTACTCTTGATTCAATCGGATTTAAGCTTAAATCAAAAGGAAATCCGCTCTAATTAAGAGGCTTGGTTCTTGATTCAAGCTTAAATCCGATTGAATCAAGAGTATTTTTTCTTGCCGATGTTTTTAAGAGTCTGGACTCTAGATCCAATGTGTTTTTTTTCCAGTGTATTTAGTCGGCCTGCGTATTTTATCTCCAATCAACAAATGCCCACCAAAGCCCGGTCCGAAATTTTCGCCACTTTTGTTGAACTGTGTCGTTTCGTCAAACTATTTTTTAGTTGGGATAAATTTGGTTTGTCGCAATAGTCTTGCAGGAATTCGATCTATGCGCGGGTCCGCTTCCTCTGAATTTGAAGTCAGAAAACGCTAATGCGTGCGCGGGCATGAGTGCCAACAATCGCGTCCCTCGCAAATGGGGATCCTTATTTTATTCGTGGATGCTGTTCAGCAAATCGATACACCGAAGTTGTCCGCGCCGAGATGATTCTACGTGTCCGTTACACCTGCACCGCGCGTTCCTTCATTTTTAGCGTTGCCGTCCCTATTTCCCAGGGCCCGTATCACAAATCTCGGCTACTCGGAGGTTGATATAGTTGTATCACACGTTTAGATCCGTCAGCCTTAACACAGAGCCCATTCAAGTGAGAATACGAGCGATCAAGTAAGTTTGCCTTCAGCCCAGTGGTTATGCAATCTCGGCTACTCGGAGGTTGATATAGTTGTATCACACGTTTAGATCCGTCAGCCTTAACACAGAGCCCTTTCAAGTGAGAATACGAGCAATGAAGTGAGTTCGCCTTCAGTCCAGTGGTTATGCAATTTCGGCTACTCGGAGGTTGATATAGTTGTATCACACGTTTAGATCCGTCAGCCTTAACATGGAGTCCATTCAAGGGAGAATACGAGCGATGAAGTGAGTTCGCCTTCAGTCCAGTAGTTATGCAATCTCGGCTACTCGGAGGTTGATATAGTTGTATCACACATTTAGATCCGTTAGCCTTAACAATTCTAATGTCTTTACTCCGAATATTTTAAAGGCACACAGGGTCGGATATATGTGAGGAGGAGGACACTGTTACAATCTGCACCTTTGTGCGACGGTCCTGGTTCATTCCTCGAATTCATATTCGCGGGCGGAGGTGACTGAACCATACTGCAATGCTAAGTCAAAATGCCGAATGGGTCACCAGGCGCTGCCAAATTTC